CGCCTTCAAACAAAAATAGCTGTCTTTTCGTCGTAACTCATTTCGTTTGTTGCAACAACGTTTTGGGTAAGAAAACAATTTTATATAACTTTTTTTTTATTTTCATTACAGGAAATACACCAAAATGACAAATAGAATTAATCAACATAATCACTGTAAAACTAAAAAGTAAGTGTAGCAGAAACTTTTGACCCATGGACTCGAAGTACTAAACTTTTCTTAAAAGATATAGCACCTCGTCTTGATCGCCTCTACTAGTGACAATAGAGCTAGCTCGTTTTTCATCCAAGGACCGGCATTTCCGTTCTTAGCATTCTTGCCACAATTCTATGTACGTGATTTATAAAGTAGTAATTAAGTGTACATTTGTTGTGTATAAAGATATAATTATTGAATATATTATATAAATAGGCAAAGACAAAACGGTTCAGTACCTTTTTCTCCTCTATTACTTAATCGTTTTACATTTTTTTGTTTAGTAGCTTTAGCCTTATCAATATTTTATTTATATAGATAATTCGGACAGAATAGCAATCTTTTATATATATGCCTAGCCAGATGCTTGTTTTTATGACACTGTATATTAGAAAGGCTCACGCTTTAATTACGTCCACAAGTAACCCATTATATGAAGATATATTAATTTTTTGAATTTCTTAGCTATAAAATTAAGATAAATTTTACTGAATATAACAATATTTTATGCATAAAAACTTTCTAAAATAAGTGCCATGTTCAAATGTAAATAAATAAATGAATCATGATTTTAAAACATATTTAATGTAAGCTTTGTACCTTTTTTTACGTACGAATATAATTTTCACACTTAAGTTACATGTATTATAAAAAAAAAGATTCTGACAAATCGAGAACCTCCTCCTTCTTGGAAATCGGTTGATAAAAGGTAATAAGACAAGTCTGTGAAGAGTTTCGTGTGAATGAAATTTGGCCTGGGTGAAGCAATCCCACTGGATATGAGCTTTGCCTTGTGCGTATTAACCAAATTCAGGATACTGTTCCATTGTCTATCTTAATTATTCATGAATACACCTTATTGTGGCTTATGTGGGGTTGGCCGAGATAAATTAATATATCACGTAATCTAAACACGCTCTGACTACGAGGAAGCAATAAAGAATAATATTAGTTTTCATATTATAAAAAAAAATACAGAAGTTGTATTAAACATATAAAACAAAGTAAAGTAAAAATTATTTATAATATACCTAATAAGAAACTTTTACAAGAACATAAAGTTAACAAGTTTCGTAAACTTCTGAAAATATAGCATTTTATAAAAATGTGAGGTGAATACACAATCAGATTGGTTTTCACAAAACGTACGAGGAAATGTGCTGAAACCGTAAAATTTTTGTCGAATGGAGAGTCCCCGTATGAAAAATAAAAAGTAAGAAAATATATTAACTTGAATTTAACGAAAAAAATTGATGTTTAACACTAAGAAAAAAATAGCTTTTATAATGTTATTTGTTATACATTTATCTACTCTTTATTATATATTATATAATAGGTTTTATTTATATAATTGATTTTTAATAAAGATCGAGCTCAGTGGTCATAGAAACGGATTAAAGCAGGCCGATTAGGATAGTGATGATGATTTTGTTCGTAATCTTTGTAGATTTTTTTACTTTATTGTCCGTCCGTCCGTCTGTGTGTCTGTCAAGATCCTTCAGTTCGGGAACTCGTGGAGATATCGAGTAGAAATTAAAACGATATACTCAGGTCTACAGTCTTTTGAATCTGTGAAAAAATCAAACTTCTAAGTTAATGTAAAAAAAGATATGGCTGTTTATGCCGCAAAAAACGCACATGTATTTTGACACTCTCAAGGGAATCCAAATTTATAGGGTATTTTTCGTTGACCTAGAACTATCAAATTTGACAAGTAATGCCGTCTTATACTACAAGTATAGGAAAAAATCTGAAAACTCTACATTTTTAATTAAATCATTAAAAAGATAGGGTCTTTGTGCAAGGAAGGGTGGTCCTGAATTGAGTTAACCATGTCATATGGGGTATCGTATGAAAGGCTTCATTGGCACAACCTTAAACAGATTTTTAATTATTTTTATGATGTATAGTTTTTATATTATGCGCCTACAAATTTGTACGGAATCCGGTGGGCGAGTCCGACTCGCACTTGTTCGGTATTATTATTTTTTTTCAAAAAAATTTTTGTAAGCAAAAATATTTACATATTTTATTTTCCCCATATCATTGATCATTATTATATCATTTTATTCTTTTCCTTACCAAAATATTTGACATATTATTAATGTTACGAAAAGCTCATAGCGTATTATTATATTTTGGAGATTATTGATAAGGATAATTTTTTTCTTTGAAGTTTTTAAAGAAAAAAATATTTCTGATTTAGAAGACCAAAGTTTTTTTTTTAACTATAAAAACAAATAATAAATATAAGATACCCTACTGTAAACTTACTATTATACAGCAAAGTTGTGTCAGCTCTTAATCGATTCAGCTAAAATTTAATTGAGTGTCTTTGAATAATTCAATATCCACATTCATTATAATTGACGATCCGAACTGACATTCAATCGTTTGATTTGGATCTAACGAGCTTATCCAGACATTACAGTAAATCTAGTTAATGAACTACATATATACATCTTTATATATTTTGTGTTCGTAATTCCTCTCCTAATGAACGGCTAAACTATGGAAAATCTTTGTAATATATATTACTATCGAGGCCAATCCATAGTTTTTAAAACTTTTGCCTGCCTGTTATTGCATCATGACAGAACTTATGGACGGATTTTAATAAAATTTGGTATGGTGATAATTGATCCGGATCTTGAATGATTGAGCGGGATCAAGATATAGAATACTTTTTCTCGTGGAAAAATCGGGAAAATACAAAAACTGGATAGAGTAACGTCACATCGAAACTATAAACATTTTAACAAGATAACTTACAAAGTAAAGCAAAAAAGAATTATAAATACCTTCTATAGAAAACAAGTATCTAAAGCTATCTAAACTCCTACTCTAACAAAAAATGACTATATAAAAAAATCGAAAAATCATTAAAAAACTGCCTGTTGATATACTTTTATCTAAAAAAGAGTACGTGTGTGTGCCATTCACACACGGTAGAAGTGAAACTTCAGAAAAGTAACCTACGAGAGAATGAGATGAATATAGAGTATCAGGAGTAGGATAATTATAAGGTTTATTTTTATTAATATTTGAGTGTAGGAAACTATACAAAAACTTTTTTTTTTCAATACTAATTTCTCTCTTCAGTACATCTTAATTATAAAATTCAATTTTGTGACCGAACAATGGCGATATATTCAATATATTTTAACATAAAGGCGTAGAGCAATACAGGAGATAAAAAATTTATTAAATTACTATAAAGACATATTTTATATTTTGAACATATCGTTAGGTACATACATACATGTAGTACAATATTGTAGATACTCCAAATCTATACATCGACTTTTTCTTTCGCAACGCATGAAATCGGCTGAATAAACTTGAATACCATTTTGTGTAAAAATATTTTCATAGAGAGGATAAAATCATCTAATAGCTAAAATTCGTATATTTATTTATAGTAAACTATATATTTTCATATCTATACTAATTCATACTTAATTTATTATGAAATCTAGACGAATTTGAATACATTGAAATTGGCTAGACGAATTTGAATATCATTTGTTGAGTATGCTTTTATATACCCAACTTAACATTAGATTACTTTTAGGCAGTACAAAATTCTTATGAAAATTTAATTATATAGCAGAAAATACTTAGAGGGCTGTAGAGTAACATAGGCTACTTTTACCGCGGAAGATTACCGAATTCCCACGGGTAACCCCACTCTTTGTACAACCAAAAAAAATATTTATGATCAGAATTACTTGAAATTTAATGCTCTTCAATAGAATGAAACATATTTATTTAAGTTATTTTAGCATTTTTATGCCATAAGGGAGTAAAATAGAGAATGAAAGTTTATATGAAACCTACCTATCTAGAGTGTTCTGCTAGTATATTATAAAGCTAAAAAGTTGTCTGTTTTTAAAAGCGCTAATCAATGGATCTGCAATGTTGATTTAAAATAATTTTGCGTTTTATTGTTTATGTATTAAGGGTTGTTATAGGCTATCTTACATCAGACTATAGCCTTCAAGAGTGGTGTAATTCCACATAACTCTTAAATTAATAAACCCCTCGTCGCAAGTCTATTCATTGAGGCCATTTTAATAAGGATAAGGATAAACGGATTTTCTCTGTTTATGACTAAGAACACTTAAGATAACTTTCAAACAAAAAAAATAAAATTGGGTCATTAGTTAGGACCCTACGATACCACACACAGACATACAGATACAAAGACACACACGTTAAACTTATAACACCCCTTTTTGCACCGGAAGTTAAAAATTAAACGACGATAAATATTCTTTAAACATAATATTATGTAAAGTAAACAGTTAACCTGTTATAGTAAAAGGCAAACTAATTTCATTTTGGCTAAATATTTTAGACTAATAAACCCTAATTAATAGTATTCTATCTATAAAATCTATTCAGTTTCTAGTATTTACTAAAATCTGGGCAAGTGAAAGAAAATAAACATTTAGACTTTAGATTTTTATTGACATGAAAGGTAAAACACATAACCCGCCGTCGCACATCTTGTACCCAACCGTTTATAAAACAAAAGATATCTGCCGATTGCGTGACTTCTAGAACGCGGTTTTCCCAGTAGCTAGGGGTGACGGTGCGAGGAGTGATTCCTGAGTGAGTAAGGAGGACACTGTATGTATATATGTGCGACTAAACGCACTAAAACTATATATCTACTAAGCAAAAGAAATGTTAAAAAATAATGTTATATTAGTAATAATGTGAAACTAAATTTATTTTCCCTAACGTACGAAAATGTACGAGTATATTTTTGGTTAGCCACCATCTTATATTTTTATCTAAGCTTCAAGTTTCGCCGCAGTATGTAACATCAAATAATATGAAAACGAGGTTTTTATAATCTGTAAGGAAAAGTTAAATTATATTATGATACGTATCAGAGACTTTAAATGTATGTTATAATAATCAAAATGTATTAGCTAATGCTTTAAATATTTATATAATAGAAAATCGCTGGTTTTTTAAATAAATTTTGATATTTTGTTAGACATGCTAATACGAGTATATGTAAGTATCTACTTACATATATCCATCTGGATGTAATTTTATTGGAATATTTAGGTACATATTTTTAACCAACGCATTACTTTACTACTTTTATACATATATTAAAATTGTAAATAAGCCGAATCTGTACATTAAATATTTTTTGGAAAATCTTATTGAAATAAACATTATTATCGATACAAAGGCCGAATCTATAGTTTTTAGAATTTTTGTTTGTCTGTCTGTTACCGCATCACAGAAAAACTACTGGAGGGATGTTGATGAAATTTGGTATGGTGATAGCTGGTTGTCCGGGTCAACATATAGGATACTGTTTACCGCGGGAAAATATCCTATTTCTGAGAAAAATTACAAAAACTGCAATGTAAGAGTGTAAGAGTATACTAATAAAATCTAAGAATTTGGTTTTTAGACATCTGAACGCGGGTGGAGCCGCGGGCAATGCTAGTTTATATATTAAATCTTGTTCCCTTTTATTCATATTAAAACTGTAGCAGAGACGAATCTGTACATTTCTTTTGTATATTTTGTTGAAATAACCATTATTATCGGTACAGAGCCTTAATCTACAATTTGTAAAAATTTTATAAACTGGAGACTGAATAAATTTGCCATTATAATAATTGATTAGACGAAGCGACTTATAGGATACTTTTTATTAAAAAAAAGGAAAAGGATTTGAGTAAGACCTCGCCCACACTATATTATTTAGCAAGACAACTTACAAAATAAAGCATAAAATAGAAATAAGCGACATTTTACACGTTAAAATAACTCTGATTATCAAATCATCAATAGATGTCACCATGAGTTGTTAAAATATGTACATAATTGTTAACATATTTGGAAAAAAATAGTACAATAATATAGCAACTTACTTCTGCCATAGTTCTCACTCCAACTGATATTAATCCCGAAGCTTTAAACGTTATGGGTGTTTGAGCGTGACTTAAAAAGGATAAGACAATTTTTCTGTTCTTCAAGTCCATACTTTCCCATGGCAAATCATAAATAGCATCCTTTATCGTTTCGCTCTGAAAATATGATATGATAAAAATAAATATTCTAACATGAAATCCTTTTGTATATTTACAGTACCCTCAGAAGTCCTTACCTCAGAAGCGATAGATTCAAATATAATAGAAATTTGGGTCAACTGTTGAAACATCCATATCGTAAGACTACCATATATTGCTAATGCTTCTTTATTCTAAAAATGAAATATTTTTTAAATTTAAAAAAAATAAATCATATAAATCTGTTAAATAAGTATACAAATTTTTTTTATTGACAAATTACATAGTTTGAAATTTGCCATGTATTATTTATTACATTAGCATAAGTAATGATATCTACATATTATATAAAATACTAGCAGAATCCGCGGCTTTGCTCGCGCTAAAAGTACAAGAAAAATCTTTGGCTCTTTGCTTTGAGTAATAATTTGATGGTTGTAATGTGACGTTAGCGAATGTGCTGAATGACATTGAACGGGAGTTTAAACGCAGCATAAACCGTTTTACTAGCTTCTAAAAGTGTAGAAGCATTTCTAGATGAGAGCACAGCTTATATAATCTCCTGATTATTTTTAATTGGTCCAAAAGCCATTTTCATACGGGCTGCTATTGACCATTTCTTAACAAAAACAATCCAATTATTATACATAGTTAAACCGATGTGGTACTAGAACCCAGGTTCTTCGGATATGCAGCCGTACATTAGATGATAAGACCAACGAAAGCCTGTACATATTATATATGTATATTATATACATATTATATATTATGTGAATTATATAAAATAAACAAATATTTACCATTGCAGATATTTCCAAAAGCAATATACATCCAATGACTTGATGAAAGATATAATACAAACATATCATTAAGCCGAAAGCTTGTGAAGCTGAGTTCATGAACCTGTATAAATTTTAGTGTATACTTTATTTTTATTTTACGACTATAATATGTATAAATTTTCACTAACAGGATAACCATTTCTTACTAACTTCATAATCATTTTATGATGTTCTATATTCTCTATGAGCAATTTCTTAATATTTTGAGACTTTTCCACATTATAGTACTTTACATTTTCATGCTTATTCATTTTGGTGTTTATTGAGTTTGGTTTTGGAAATTTTTTCAAATTATGCTTTAAGATTTTTAAATGCCCCCATATGTGAAAAGCAATTAAAGAAACCAATAGATCATAAGTACAGAAATATAGGCCACCATCGAATACTATTAACAAGTTCACTGAAGAAATGATAGCATAAATTAAGTTGTTGTGCTCAAACTTTGTATAAAAATATACAGCGTATTCGTAACGAGTTCCATTTTCCAAACTATGTTGACTAGCTTTGAATACTCCTGATTGAATATTATTATAAAATGGTGTCAAATTAAAAAATATAACAGTAAAGTACACCTGTATATAAATAATGGCTGTAAAAATTGATGATATTTTATGAACTCTTTTATAAATCTGTAAAAATAGGAAAAAAAATATCATTCATACAGATTATTATAGTTATAATTCGGTTGGTTAGAAAAATATTTTAAAATAATTTAATCTAGACACTTACTTTCATAGCATATTTAGATTTTTGTTTAAAATGAAAGAGATGTAATTTTAATACGAATTCGGGGATAATATTCCTATACGCCTTTATTAATGGCATTAAAGATCTTTGCTGAAACAAATAAATACTAGAATAAATATAATAATGGTCGTAACAAATATTAGTGATTATTAAATAATTGGGTAAAGTATGAGATAAATACATATTTTATTGGGTAAAATGCCTATAGACATTAACAAATTCTCCAAACACACAGGAATAAACCTACAATTTTTTTTTTCAATTTTACTGTAGTTGGCAGCGCCAGTAGTGACTAAAAAATTGTTACCACCACATTGAGAAGTATGTATAATGTACATTTATATATTATCAACTATATGGAATAGCTACGATAATAATATTTCTTAGAAAATCTATCTAAATATTTTATGACGTACTTACAATGCATACGATACTCATGAAACAGGTGATATAATTATGACCGAGTTCATAGAAATCCAATTTTCCTATATTAGTTTTTATGTACATAGATATGCTGATGAAGATACATAGCCAGTAAATGATCATAGCCTTAAAATTTCTTGTGGGCAGACATTTAAGATTTTCGCTATGTGCTGCACCAAATTCTTTAAACGGCCAAGCGTTTACCAAGCTCAAGTAAAATTTTACAGTTTTCATGTAATTTAAGTCCATCGGTGATGATGCATTTCTATTCCTGAATAAAATAAAAATCAGATTTGTGAAATTTCATTTATAAGATTATATTTTATAGTGGTTCTTCTATAGAGACTTATACTAATAGGTGCCATTGTAGGATTGGCGATTTTTACGAAACCTGATATATTATACCTAGTATTTGAGTGAAATGATGAAAAAACTGCCTATATCATAATATACTTAAATAAAATTAAAATTCCGGATATTTTAAAATCTGCAATACCTTAAACATACGGTCAATATAAATTCATATGAATATTGAGGGAACTAAAAAGAAAATAAATTGTTAATGTTCTTACATTATTTTCTATACAACTGTACAATAACGGTATAATAATATATGCGTATCTTTAATTTATATCCACATTGTTTACAATATATATATATATATATATATATATATATATATATATATATATATATATATATATATATATATATATATATATATATGTAATTGCTCCGCATCTAAGGGTATTGTTCGATAACTTATACCTTACCAACCTAAAAAATATAGCCAAACCCAAATTTTTTAAATTTCTATGAATTTAAGAATGTATGGAAATAAAAGAGTACCATGCGTACTTTAGAAATTTTGTGGATCTAGATCTACCTAGGTAGAGTTAGAATACATTTTCGGAACGAAGTTCCTTATCGCAAGTTATACTCGGTACACTTGGTGAATGAGAGCTAGATGGAAAAAAGTAATATTTTGACCGTCACGATACTTTTGATTATTAACTAAGAGTACCCCATGACAATGACTCGAAATTATCGTATTTTTTGGGATAACCACATATTCATACAGACAGACACACTCGTAAGTTGAACAAAAATACATGTAGAGTCAACGTAAATCAAATAAATGTATTGTACATACTCGAGCTTCTTTTTAAAGAACATTTTTCACGATTAACTTGAAATATGTCTCCTCAACATATAAGCAAATTTATTCGAAAATACTAGATTAAACTAACTTTTATAGGCTTTTATTAAGCAAATAATTAATCAAGAAAAAATGAGACATGCCTATTATAAAACCATTTTATATTTTTTCATTATTCATAATTACAGTACAGTGTAAATTTTAATTACATTAGCGATCAGTGGCTTCCCACGACTGCACAAAATAATTATGATTCATATAGATACTGAAATATAAATGTGTTGCAATATTTTTTTTACATAAGACTTAAAAATATATATTTGAAATATATTTTTTTGACTAAAAAGGCCAAGCATAATTATTACTCTATACCTAAAAACGTAAACCGACCTTAACGGAGTGTCTATTCGTCCTTTATAAAATATATAAATTATAAGGAAGAACGAATAGACTAATTCGTAAACTAAACTAACTAAATAAGTAAGTAGAATAAGAAGCTCGGCTCGGTAGATTAAGGTTTTTTTGCATACAGAAACTTTCTTTAATTTAAAAATCGTTGGGATTTAAAAGAATAAGTTTCCAGCTCGGTAGGTTAAGTTTATTTTATTTTTCTGCATATAGAAGCTCCTGCACCTAAAAATCAATTATTTCACATTAGCAAACAAAAAAAAGTGGTAAATATTCGTACCAACCGATAATAGTCGGACGAATAATGTATTTTTTATTCATCCGGTTATACGACGAATAGCGACAGCCCTAAAATAATTACATACTTTAGTAATAATTATTCCAGTCTCAATATCTGCATTTATTTTTCAATAAGTGAAATATAATAGATAATTATAGGTCTTAATAAAAACCTACAGAAAAACCTAGTCTACAGAAAAACACACACAATAACTACTTTTATCTATTTAAAACGTACTGGGAAGCACGCACCCGAGCGAAACGAGGGATAATCGCTGTGTGTATTTCTAAATATGTTGTTACTGTTAGAGTCAGAGCAATCAACATTAGAAGTTTTTTGTTTAGTTTGTAGAATTGATGCAAGTCCCTCGTCATAGGCTTTTTTTCGTTGTCCATATTGATAATAACATGTGGTACAGGCGTTCTTTACACTTGTCCGTACATCCTGTTTCACTATATCTTTCTCTATATAGAAAATATCATTTTTGTTTTTAAATGACTTGAAACTATTCTAAGTGTACTTACTATACAATATTTTTAAAGGTAAAAATGTTATAAAATGTTAGTTAGGAAAGTTAAAGAATTATAACACTCTTCTCGATATTATGATTTTTTTATTCATTTAAGTTAATCAATAATTCAGTTAATTAATAAGTAATAATAATTTAGTTAATTAATAAGTCTTTAGAATTTTTTTTACTACATAATGTATTATTTCTGCGATCTGCACATTTGATGCGATAAGTAATGAGTAACATCTCAATATGAACACTTTTTAAGTTTGAATTGGCCGTTAATCGTTATGGCACCGAGGGCTTTTTATTATTATGTTTTAATTATTTTTCTCTTTCTAAAAAATCTTTTGAAGTTAGTAGTGTTATTTTTTACCCAAAATAATTGGGATAAGTAAGAATAATTTTGTCCGAACAAGTTCTAGACAACAAGGTTTATCAAATATGAGGTTATTTAAATTGCAATATTTGGTGTAATAAATTCCAAGTTCGGATTTTTTAAAATTATTCATCCAGCCCATCCAGCATCTAAAGCACTCCTTAAATTATTCATTTCATGCAAATGCAAGTAGGGGTGTGGTCGAGCCTGTGGGTGTACATTGAATAGTCAATAACAATACCGAATGGCAGTCCATCTTTTAATGGCTTTTGTCTTTGAATCTACTTCTAATTGTCATGTAGATTGCAACAAGACAGTTATTCGGATCATAATTTAATACGTAATTTCATTAACCTTATCTGATAATAAAATCAAGAAAGGACGTTATAAATAGTAAAACCCTTTGAATTGAAGCACAATTGATTTGTTTCGGGTTCAGTATCTAACAGTTTATATACAGTGTAAAAAATTGTATAGAATTCGTTCAAGCTATTATATTTATATAACACTAGCAGATCCCACGGCTTCGCTCCCGCTAAAACTACAAAAAAACCTCTAAAAAGGTAGTTTCATACTAACTTTCATCGCCTATTTTACCCCTTTATAGCCTTTTATTGGTTATTGAAGAGCATTAATACCAAGTTTCAAGCAATTCTGATCATAAATATTTTTTTGGATTGTATTACAACGTGTTTGCCTGTGAGATTGAAATAATCTCTCGCGATAAAAGAGGTAAAAGTAGGCTATGCCACCCTTCAGCTTTCCAACTATTTCCACGCAAAAAATCACGCCAATGCGTCAATCCATTTTGACGTGAAAGAAGGACGAACAAACAAATAAACACACTTTCACATTTATAATATTAGTATGTATTATACAAATATTGGCCACTGAGATTAGCCATGCGATCAGATATTATAGTGCACAAATGTGCGCAAACACATTAGCCCTCTATTCCTTTTTGTATGAACAGGACTGTTGAAGAGATCAGACGCAGTACCGACGGCTTTACTTGGCATTAAGCATCTTTCCATTATAAATAATGCAAGAAACAGACAGATATATGGGAAAAATGAAATAAAAGACAGCTTAGAAAATACTACAGCTCATATAATCGAAGTTACACTTTCATTTCATTAACAATGATCACAAAAGTTTCCTTTCATCTATTTACGCACCGCATAGAATATACAATCGCATAGAACCTAAAAATTCAATTTACACTCGAACCTAGTCATTTAAAAATATTTTGCTGAAAACGTTTCCACGTATTTATTTACATTAAAATTCGCAAATACAACTTTTTACATAATTACTTTATACATTATGTCTTATTAAGTTTTGCTTACTATTTACATTTTCTATGTTAATCAATCTTAATCAACGTTTGGTCAATTCATCTTACAAATAAATATATTATAGTTCAATGGTATTAATGAACGTGATAACTAAAATTAAAAGACTAACCAAATTATATAACTCGTGATAATAACGTGTTGTAAAGCTAAATAAAACCATTAACAACAACCATGAGTTGTCCTTCAATGAGACCAGTAAATAATTATATGCTATTATATAAATATTTGAACATATATTTAATCACACAACTAATTTATGTAATAATTAATAATATAAATAGTGTAATTGAAATTTAAATGTACAAAATGGTTATGAATGGTTAATTTGGCATTTAACGCAATATATACTTGTTACAATATTAAGATATCATTTGGAAAGTGGCAATAATCAGAGCAATAAGTGAAGGATAATTCATAAAAAAAATAAGAAAAATTCAACAATATCTAAGTCTAATTAATTGGTTATCATAACTCTAAATATTCTAGTTGGTGTTTCAAATCGAACCACTAATAGGAATTTTTAATCTATAGTTACAGCAATAAATTCTGCAAACTTAAGCGTTTGATCTAATTATTATTTATCTAAAATATTACTAAATCATCGCAATATAGCAAAACAAGTTATATAATAGTTTCTTTGTAACTCAAATATTAAAAAAATAACAATATGTATACGTAAAAATTAAGCAATACAATATTATTTCGCTTTCATGTAAATAGTGTTATAATTGTGTATTATTAAAGAAAATGTTTATATCTTATTTTAGTATTAAGTTTAGTACCATTTGAGAAATATTGTAATAAATTGCTTATAACTCTTGTATTTTATTCTTGTTTTAAATTTAATATTTATTAGTGTTTATTTGCATGAAATATATAACTTCTTAGTCAACTATATTTATGCTTAACTGAAGTATTTCATCGACGTGCATTTTTCTATGAATAATATAATATTTGAAACTCAAAGTGCTTTATTAATTATATTTCCACTATAATTTATTATTAAAACGCACTCTTTATGCGGTACTTCGATGTTCTTATGTTTATTATTATTGGATACAAATATTTTGCCATTAATTATTGGTCTTTAGGGTAATTATTTATTAAATTATACCAATAATATACTTGTAAAGGGTAAACATGAAGACGTATTACATAAGGTCCTTTTGAACTGAAATTACAAAGAAATTGATCCCATCACTCGTACTCATACAAGCTACAAATCAGATATTTAATATTAAAATTACACTTTCAAACCTTAGTTATTCTATTTACATATTCATAAGTTGTTAAGATAATAAAACTGAATTATCGAAATTTTCGTAGTGTTTTAGGCACTATTTAGACAGCCATCAATCTTAATGTCTTATTACAAAGCTTTACTTAACCTAATTCTTATAAAAATGTTTTACAATCTACATGTCAATAGGCAGGTAGTAACAATTTAATTCGTCTATAACCTAAAAAGTGTGTATACAGTATTATACAATCTGTGACAACCTCAAACTACGTTTGACTTTCAGTTGACATTTGAGATGTAAAAATGGGGGTACAATGCAGATTACTTTTATACTATAATTTTATTAGGTGGTAGTTTTACATATTGTCTGCTAATATGAATAAATCTAAATGCGTATTATATAATATGTGTACGTACTTTCATTTCAAACTATGATCTTGATTTGCTGTATTCTATCTACGTGTTATATGAATTACTTATTCAGATATTATTTCCATTTTATATATATCTTCAAAGAATCATAATGAATTTTAAACATGTCATAGATTCTTTGATGATGCAATATTGGGATATAACCTTTAGTGCTATTTACAAAAAGTTTAGTAAAAAGATGTTCCGATTAAAAACACTGTCCTTGGTTCCTCGAACATTAGATAAAATCTAAACAAAGGTGTAGATAATGCCGACCTAATCAATAATAATACAAATGCTGATAATGTATTCAAAATATCGTCTAACGTATTGGCTAAAGCGTCTATCAATAAAGCATCTTGTATAATCACAACAACATGTCCTTTCCTAATTTCATTCACTACCTAAACAATATCACTATGAACAGTCTGACACATCCGAAACTTTTGGGAACAGCGAAGAAAACTACGGCTGACCTTGTCTCACTCGCTTGGTCCACTGGCGAACCGGGATAATTATTTCACTGACCATTCTTGATACATCTTGATACTTGAACACCATCATCAGTAAATAATAAGAAACGAAGATAGAACGAAGGGAAATGAAAATAATCATAGAAAGATAGGTTATTTCGGGACACGGATGTATGTTGATGAAGTAAATACGTCTTGCAATTTTTAAATTCCGATAAATCTTGTTATTATATATAATACTGTATATTTCATTGTAATATAACAAATTTATTATATTTAATGAATGTGGTATAAAGTGTACCATGTGAACGTATTTACATCAAAAACATTGTGAAACAATTTCCCCGATGGCCTGATTGGTAATTGGGGATAGGGTTAGAGGAAGGGCGCCGAGTTTCGTCGAGTTCAGCACAGGAGTTCGGAGTTGGAAGGCGGTACTCAGCTGGGTAGCGGCGGTCTTACGTGAGGGCTTGTTGCTTGCGGTGAAGGAGCAGATGCGCTTTCTGGAGTAGAATGCGTTCGTGGCGCCGGTTGGACCGGACTGGGTGGCCATGGATGTGTAGCTGATGGTAATGTTCTGAAAAAATTAAATTACATTTTAACATTCTTGTTTGTACATTATATGTGATGAATTTTATTTTATTAAATATTTCCCGCTATTCTTATTTACTTTTAAGTATTTACTTATTTTAACGGTTAGTATGAATATCCCAAGTAAACCGTACATTTTTCTGGGATATATAGTAACTCATGCCTATGTCTATTCCAGACTATAATTTATCTCTACCATAATTTTTATCCAGATCACTTCAGCCGTTCTGGCGTAATTGAGTAACAAACGTCAATCCATCCAAACATTCGCATTTATCTATAATATTTCTGGGTTATAATACAATATATTCCTATTTTATAACTAATATACATTACACATTTACAGGATATTTCTTTAGCCTGTGACTCGAATCGATTAAAATGTTTAAAAAGGCAAAAAAAATGTTGAAATAATTTCAATAATAATTACCTAGAATATGGGGAAATAGAGGAAGCAGGTGGCGTAGGCGCCGCCGCAGTATCAGGATGAAGGAAATTCTTTCTTTGTTCTGACCGCTCCCAACATTGCTGAAGACACCTCGCCATTACATCGGGTAAATTGTTCATTTGCTCCTGCAAGGGTAAGGCTTTCATATTTAACTTTTTAAGTATTTAATAAATAAGTGGTTTTTATATATTTTTTTTCTCGCTTTTGTTATTAACTAATAACTATAGTCTGGTTTCACGATACTAGCCGAGAGGTAAAATATAATAATCATGTGTGGAAATTGCCTCAATTTCTAACCAAATTTAATGTGAGTCTCTATATATTTATGTCTATATTGACTCTTATCGATAGCAAATTAATTAAATTTTGTTATATGTCCGCAGTATATAATATAAAATATAGAATGCCCCCAAATTCACGCAAGATTTAATAATTTTTACGTAAAGGAAATCATCCGATAAAGATAAGCTAAAATTACCTGTAATGATGTTAATTTCTCTTCTAAACTAGTTAACCTTTCTTCGATGTTGTCCTGTCTTGTGCTCATGTCTGACACTATTTCATACACGGTGTTTTGTGTCTGTAATAAAAAGGGGTCCTACTATCAATCGCATTGCAGCTCAATTAGCATTGCCGGTCTAAATCATAACTTATTGTGAAGTATCTTTTGTAGTGTTACACCCTTATCTGTTAGAAATATGAATGTTCGTGAGTGTATGTGTTATAATATTATAGAAAGTATTGTAGTAAATAACGATAAGGTATATTAGCATGCTCTCATGTAAAGCTTTGATTTTCTAGTGAATTTATATATATGCATTTAGCAAATGGAAATGAATCTAAGAAACATGCTGTTCATTCACTACATAACTAATTCGGTCACTTTCTTATATTGGGCAAAGAAATGTGGGAAATTTTATCATTTCAGCTATCAAGTGCTAACTAAGTATCTAAATGGAATTGTGTATGAAAGTAGCATCAGCTAGTAAATTGACACATAAACTGAAATTACCTTTGCCATATCGGTTATTGTGTTAGCATTATCCATCAGTTTTCTTTGATCCATCTTCACTTTTCTTAATCTGAAATTTAAAAATTTTTTGCTAAGAAAATTAATTCTGAAATATAAAAGTACAAATAATCTATATAAATATATTCTTAATATTTACTTCAACTAAGTTATAGGATTCGATTAAAAAATAAGCTCAAGTACTCACGCATAAATCGCTAATAAGAACTTTCTTTGATGAGTTCTAACGCGACCAGGGTGAACCCTTTTGACGAGTCTTGTATGTTTATATATTAACCAAGTTTCCCTTAATACATTGGCTGCTGCATTTTTCAGCTGAAATATTCAAATTCCCATCATGTTACTTAAATATTTTCTATGGAAAGTACTATATTGATTGAAAAAAGTTACTGCAACAAGCATTTAAGAACTTAGCATCTAATTTTAAACTGGAAGAGAAAATTGTTAAAAAAAACTGTAAAATCTATGATTTATTTAGGGAGATTATTATTAAGGTAAAAATACCTAAGTTAAAAATATAAATAGCTAATGAACCTATAACCACAGTCTACCAATCCATACAGATGACTAATGAAAGCATCTAGACAAAACAATCGTGCGAGGCGTACGAGGTTCGTCGCAGGTAAGGCGCTCCCGACTGTCATATGTATATATGACATTCGGGAAACGATCTTAGGGCTAATGATATATCTGTAACTTGCCACGAGATGACACTACAGGGCTTTAACTTAAAATCGTTAGTCTTAGAAATTGCTATTTTCGACAACCCTTGCATTTGGCTATATGAATTACCTACTGTATGGATTTTTATACCGTGCTATAACTATATCAAAAGTATCTACGTTTGTGATCTATTTCAAACTCATCTTACCTCACCGGTCCATCTGTCACTATTGTGACAGTTACCTTACCTTTTTCGTCAGTTGAGTTTCCATCATGAAGTTATGAACATGCTTTTCCGCTCTAGTTAATTCTAACTTTCTCGACGCAACTGTCACTAATAACGCTGTACATCCCGCCCCCTGTTAATTAGATCAACAATTGTGGTGAACTGACGTCAACAAAATACTTACTCTTTTAGTAAGTTGTGTGTCCATCATGAAGTTATGAACGTGCTTCTCGGCTCTAGTTAATTCTAATTTTCTTGAAACAACCGCGACTAATAACGCAGTGCATCCAGCTCCCTGTTAAGTGAATACCTTAATGTAAAATGCAAGCGAACGTGTACAAGCATTCGAGATTTCACATTCCTTAAATAAAAATGCATTTTCAGGCTAGAAATGAAAAGAAACTATGTTCTTGAGCTATGTGGTTAATTCTTCAGTTTAGATTTAAATAGCGCGAGGACAATAGACACATGTAAATAAATCACTATGAGAAGCTGTAACAATAATTATATGTAAGGAAATAAGAAAGTAGACTACGATAGATTACAATATAATAGCGTTGTCGATTACCCTCGTAATTTTTATTGTTATTTATATTACTAGTATAATATAAAATATTTTAGTTTATTAACCATAAAGGTAGCAATGTTATTATTTTTATTTACATAATATAAATATTAATTTGTTATTATTATATTATAGTGCACAAATGTTCAAATTCTAACAGTTAGCCAAGTAACAACGGTATACTGTCAATTCGAGCGAAAAACGTCACTATATCTACATTATTAGAAATGAACTGAAATATTTCACACAAACTAATAAATATTTTTAGTTATCTATAATTTAGTATTATGTTAAAATCATCTCTCAGTGCATATCCATCTAGAAGTGCAGTATTAAATTTTATATTTAAATCCTTCTCATCAAACTAATACTTTTGATTATACACAAACAGTACCAAAAGTGCAAAATATTATTACTTTATTTATATAACTTCTTTAAGGAAAAGTGAGCCATTTTAAAAACAAACGTATTGTGCAATTCAGTGAAAGAGTTAAGTGAAGATAGAACTAGAGATAGTAAGGAGAAATGAAGCATTCCATTCTACAAAATATTTCTAAATAGCTGGCTTTAACAGGGAAATGGACGTTTCATTGTTTATAAACATACAATTTTTATATTCCCGATATCAGTTATTATTATATTAAATAATATGTTTAAAAGTTGGGAGTTAAATAAATGTACAGATGTGTACAATAATTATGATGAACTAAGCGGTTGTGACAATAATTCCATTTAACAATATGCAACACTTAAAATATGACCAATTATACAATACCAACTGATTTATTGACTCTGTGAACATACATTTTAATTGCAACATCGAATACATTAACAGCGGTGATTTCAATTTATAATATTATGTTGATTACAAAAGTGTATACAATTATTTAGTGTGGAGTGTCATCTGTTGAAAACAACGAAATGTTAGTGTTGACTGACTTTAAAATTTAAAAGAAGATCATTAGACATAAAAAATGAAAAAAATAAACAAACAGAATGAACAAAAAATATTTAAAATAAACGAATATAACAAAATGGAAAGTGATTGAAATAATGTGAACGCTGTCAGTCAACACAAACATGAATGTTTGTTGGAACTTACCATAATGCCGGTGCTAACGGCGATACCTCTGCCGCAATATGTATTTGGCACAATGTCACCAAAACCGACGGAGAGAAATGTAATCGCAATAAGCCACATCGCATTGAGTAGGTTAGCATGTTCTTCATCGTGAAACCTTTTGAAAATAAATGTCGTCGCTTTACTCAGTACGTATTACCTTCCAAATATTTGAAGGTATAAAAGTATCGTGTACAACCTACCTATCAGTACTGCACGCAAGCATATTCCATTGCAAAAGTGAAAGGTTTTTTTGTAAAACAGAAAGAAATTGAAGAAATAGAAAGTACGTATCGTCTTGAAGAGTTTGACTTTGATTATGAAATTGAAATTGCTTCAGTCATTTGTGAAGTATATAGTACGAGTATGACACATAAAATGGCTCACCTTTACCGACCTATCACAATTTGTTTAGACAAAGCAAGTTAACGTATAGCGCAGTTATAATAAACCTTGCGATGCCTAGAAGAAACGAGAGGCTATTCACATTACGCATTCGTCACGTTTTACATAGATGATACCAATATAGCCTACCATTTGTTATCATACATACCACCATACCGCAGGTGAGAGTAATGCCGCGGCCGCAGTATGTGTTGGGAACTATATCACCGTAGCCAACACAGAGGAAGGTTATAGCTGTCAGCCACATTGAGTTTAGCAAATTGGCATGGTCTTCATCGTGGAACCTGAGAGCCAAAATGCCCAACAAGAACCACAAGATAACCGATTGTATAATACAATGTTTGCATTTTAAAAGCTGAATTTATATTACTTTTATAATTCATTTCGAGAAACGGAAAGACTCAAAAGCTTTGTAATATTTTTGAGCCAAGAATAAGATTTTCAAAAACAACAATTTAGCATGCCTCTTGAACGATACAAAATAAATTTTAGAACTACACAAATACTAATACCGTATTTCAATACAACGTGCAGACTAAACATTTATTTGGGGTCAATACCAAATATAATGTACTGTTAGCCATGCTGTGAATCTGTTTATTTACTTACTTGGTAATACAGGGCAGGGCAATATGATAACACATAATGAACACTTATAAAGACAACGTAATAAGACAGAAAAAGACAGAATCAGAAGAGAGGAAGGATTGAAAGCCTTCTGCTTGTCGTGAAGCGGAGATACGCTTAGATGCATGAATGTGACAAAAGTGCGGTGGTTTTGTGCGAATTCAGATTTGCCAGTTTATTGGAAGCTGTTCTATGTGTAACCTAGAGCCATTTTGTGCGTGGTTTTATAATGTCATTAGCCATATCTTACCGACACTTTTTCTTTTTGTTTATATTGTGTCGTAAACGATATGGTACTTCTTCTTCAGTGATCTTTTGCAATTAGTGACTACCACACAGCACTTTTCTCAGTATTTTTTTTGTGCACATTTTAATATTCAACATTTAATTTACTAACACTTACAGCAGATTAAGCATTTTCGTTCTTTAACGATATATGACTAATTCTAACACATATCTAAGTTATTTATTATATACAGCGTTGTGTTTCGTTTGTTTGATGACTACATTAGCGAAAGTATTCAAAGTCAAACTCTTATGTTCTGTGATTATAACCAATTACTACAATAATTATTATTTTTTGAATATTCAAAGTAAATATTTAAAACAAAAAACACAGAGGGTAAGAAGCAAAACATATTTCAATAACGCCACAGTACAAAAGCATTAGCATGCCCATTAAGGCAGTACATCAATAGTTCGTAATAATTTCGTGTAAATAAAAGAGACAGTGTTTAAATTAAAAAAAATGAAAGCGATACTGATGAATTATACGCTGGTACAATTAGCTTAATACACATAGACAATCTAAGTAATAATACTTCAACTTTTTTATTTCATGTTACTTGGGAACTAACATGGTAAGATATTTTATACAAGTTACGTATAGCTTTCGTGATACAAATATTTTTTATACTAACCTCTCGCACTGCCTTAACGTCCAACTTGCGATTATCCAAAGAGAAACCATAAACACAAGTAGCACAGTTCCAGGACATATAGTCATAAGAGTCTTTAATACAAATCTGTAAATTGAATAAATTATGTATGTATTTTACGAGTATTACAAAAATATAATATAATAAAATTTCAATTTTCTAATACTATAAAAATAATTATAGTACGTTTACAAAATATATGGGATCGCACTTACATTAGTAGTGCGAAAGCTTATAAATGATTGATGGAGACAACAAATAGTCCTTAATGCCAACATTTTTTGGTTGGCAGTAATATTTTCTTACCTAGTATTGAAATTAATTCTGTTCAAAGCTCCTATACTTCTAGAAGAAGCGTCTGTGAAAAGTTTACTGTGGAGCAACATCACCCTGCATATTAAATACAGACGAAAGAACATCGGAAGAGACAGTGTTACATCATATGGAACCTGAAATATAAACAAAATGGCATATTAAGAATTATGAGAAAAAAATTTACCACTCATAGAAAAGAATTGATCACTCGTGATTCTCTAAAGTTTTATTGTTTTATGATTTATTTATAAATCAAACTAAACATCCAAAATATAATTTGAAGATATTATGTTTATTCGTCAATAATTATCAATGTGTTAATTTTATTAAATAATAAATTTAATTACATACAAAAAAACCCTTTAACAGGATATTTGAATGTGCATTATTAAAATTACATTATGCCATACAATCATGCCTTCAAATACGTAAAAAAATTAAATTATTTTTTGGCCAACTGTTTATTATATAGTTATCTTCAAATTAATCTAAAGCTTTTGAGATAAACTAGCCATTTTATATCTCAGTCCATAAATATAATGAACGGAGAACGTGACGTTACGAGTAATTACGTAACAATAGAAACACGACACATTGTTAAATTTCAAACAAAAGCATGCCATTCAGAACACAAATTCTTAATACAGACCTGAATTTGTTTATAAATTGTATCCTACGGAGAAAATGTAAACATAAATACATATAATAACAACAATATGAAACTGAGATAAAGCAGAAATATCAAATTAGAACATAACTATCACTAAATAATATGCATAAATTCAATAAAAAATATTTTTCATGTATGTTGTTGTTACATCGTAGAATTAATTCACGATTTCATAAAATAGTACTAACTTACTAAAGTACTTCATAATTTTGTATTTATATTTTATGATCCGTACACGATATATTCCAACATACATATGTATAAATTACAAGCAGACAATGAAGGACTTTAATTACTATATACTTAAAAAAAAATACAAATCTAACTAAGATAAAGTAAATTAAAACTACATCTTAGGGTCTATGCACACGAAGATTTTTTAACCCGCCGCGTCTAACATGAACGCGTATCAATGGTGCATTAAAAAGTCGTCGTGTGCATTATGTCCTTATTTAAAAAAAATATATAAAATAAAATTACCGGTGACATATTAATAATATATGTTTAATAAAACGTAATATAATAATTGACACTACAAGTAAAAACTTACAACTTCAACGCCTATTACTCCGCCTTTGTTAGCCAACTTGGTGGTCCAAGTAAAGGTATATTGTCCTGGGATAGGATGGACGGCGCATATCGCGAGTTCAAGAGCAATCTGCGCTATCCGTTGCCACGTCATTGCTATCCGCCAGTCGTCAGCGCAGTTGTCTATCATAAATAACTGAAATTGAAAACAAAATACTTAAAAACACTTTCTATTGATAATGGTTAAAACTAATCAATCAGGTCAAAAGTTTAGGAGCTTTTCAGAGGTCGAGTTTGAAGATAATAGGGAGACGATAATATACGAAGCAATATATTTGAGATATGAATCAATTGTACAACTTGGCACTATATCTGGCCACTCCCCATTAAATACGTACATATAGTAGTAAATAAATTTACGTTTTATTATCTTTTCAAAAAAAAAATAGCATAAATTGACATTATTTGATTTTTAAATAGCCGATACCTAGGAAATATATATATATATATATATATATATATATATATATGTATATATATATATATATATATATATATATATCTTAAATTTGATTGTCATTTAGGCTAGTCATTTTATCCCTCTTTTTGTGAAAATCAGAACCAATTTCGATTAGATGTATTTAATTAAAATACCATCCTCCAGCTCTCAACACTTGTGGGTTTACTCAAGAAACATTAGAGAGCTTATGGAAAGCAATACTGTCCGACTTGTTTATTTTACTTGTTTTCGTAGTATCTTACTTAGATCTTTATTATCTTGCTATCTTTATTATTCAGAACAGACCTTGTAATTCCCTGCGAGATGTTTGTATTAAAAGAAATTGATATTCTTTCGCTCGCATAATTTATTTTGTTATATTATCTATTCGGTAAAATTTGAATAAATATGAATATGAAAATTAATAACAGACATTAATTAATATTAGAAGTAAAACTAGATTTCGTCTTTATTAGCCCATAAACTCTATATCTCAATTTTAATATTCATCATCTTAAAATTTCACAAACTCAGTTTCTGATTTACCATTTTAAAATTATGGAGATTTTTGGAATTTCCGTAGACTCAATAATTAGAAATTCAGTAAGAAGATAGTAAAAGAAAAGTAAACAGTACCTGTACTTCTAAAGCGTGATAAGCCACGATTAGGCCGAGTAAAATCACAGTTGACATTGATATTAGCGTTTTGAGTGCTTGTGAATATATTGACGCCTGAAACAACATTATGCATTTAATTATATTACCTAATAATAAATATCATTGTATAACGAGACCAAATTATATAATAGTCACCTTAGTGTATACACCTGCACTAGAGAGTTCATTTTCTATAACCATGATTATAATACCAAACATTCCCATCACTAACGCGTAATCACTTATTCGTTTTCTTTTTTCAAATAGCGCCTTTCTTCTACCTAATCTGGAAATAAGAAAAAATATCAAGTATTTCATCGGACTACCATTAAAACACAATATGCTCGTGCATTTCAGCTTGAAGGAGAGCAGTCTTTCAGAAATGGCTGGATGTATTGGGATGAAATTTAGAGCACAGATAGACAGATGATCTGGAGTGATATCTAAGAATGCACCCGACTGAGGCGTAAATAATTTGCTATTATTATATTATATGTAAAAGGTATAATTTAGTTTCACAGCGTTAAATCGGACATCAAACTACAAAGATTACAAAATTTCAATGAATTATCTGAGTGACACACAGTTCGTGCCAAAGGTTCGATGTCACTGGATTAGCCTTATTGATGGGATACTGTAACAGTTGATCGTCGGCCATTCAATTAATATTCACCACTGACACAGATTACTGAAGTTTGAATTCAAGTAATTAACGTCAAGGGACTTAATTTGTGATTAACTGTCCGAATTGTATGAGGGGACATAGCTTACGTTAGAAGAGCCGCGTCTTGCGTAAAGGTAGATTGATAATTAAAATTTTGTATAATTTTTAAATTAAACCTATTGATATAACAGTGTTATTAAATATATTTGAAAATTTTATAAACTTATTATTATTTCAATAGCGAGCCGCCGCCTTCGATTATTAAAATTAAAACTTAATATTGTGCTTTTCTGCTAATTTATTTAGTATTATAATTTAAATTTTTATTATAATATTTTTTTTTATTAAAAGTACCTAAATATTGAAAGCTATATAGCAAATTCACTTATAAATATTTATAAGTTAAACCTGTTGAAAGTCATTTATTTCGTTACTGTGCATAATAAAGTTAAGGAGCCACTTTAATACGAACGGCTGCTTTTAATTAATTATACATATAATATTATATTGCATTGGAAAACAAAAGTTAAAGGAATTTTATATAATTTTTTAACCCTTTTAGGGTTGATTATATAGTTGATTTATTATATTTTAAAAAGATGTGAACAATATGTCCTTGAAAATTAACCTATACCTTCAGTATAATAAGCGTTGACGTGAAAGAAAGTAAATAAATAACAAGAAATGCAGCAATAAATTCTGAAGACGAACAAAATCGATTCGACCCCGATGCAAGTTATTTCCGTTCATTCAAGGCTACTGTCCACCAAACGTTTCATACATAAGTTTTATAGGTGACAAGTTACGCAGCTCAAATAATAGCGTTATGTCATAAAAGATTAGTAAAATATAAAGAACAGCAAAACACGCGGCTTTGCTTGCGCAAAAATTACATAACAAATTAGCACTTCCAAAAAAAATTAATTAAATTTCTATGAAATTAATTAAATGTCTAAGAACTCTATTGTTAACTGTAACGCCGCGCCGGCGTGTCCGCGGTCGTGTAGGGATCATAAAAGCTTTCATCCTCTATTTTACCCCCTAATGGTTTCCATTAATTCTGATCATACATATTATTTTAGGTTGTATTACAACGAGTTTTCCCGTGAGAATGAGATAATCTCCCAAGGTAACCTATGTCAGTCACTCTAGCCCACCAATTGTCTTCGTCCAAAAAGTCACGCCAATCCGTCATTCTATTGCGACGTGAAAGAAGGTCAAACAAAAAAAACAAAAAAACAAACAAATACATATTCACACTTATAATATTAGAATGGATTCAATCTATTTTAGTATTGCCTTAAAAACAATGTGTAGATAATAATCAAGAAGAGCTTTTTAAAATCTCATTATTTTTTATGATTTTAAAGGTGCTAAATAAGTTAATGTTTTTTATATAGAAAATATTATATTGGATAAGCATTTTGATCTTTGTAAGACCTATTTAGTATACAGGCTAGGGTAGAGCGAAAAATTTTATTTTTATTTTAAACTTGGGGGTAGAATTTTTAGCTTATAAAAAAAAACAAAATATTTTTTTAAGTCAAAAATTTAAATTAATTATTTATAAAATCAGTGAACCACCTCAAAATGTTGAGTAACATATTTTTTACCCCCAAGCTAAGAAAAATAAATGTTTTTTTTTCGCTCCACTCTAATACAGACCTATGACTTGGAGTGACACAAAGGCTAGTTAGGCACCTAGGAACGCACTGACTGAAGCGAGAATAAGTTGCTAGTATTATAGTAAGGTATATACAATTAATAATTTAATTCAATCGGTGTTCACGATTACTTAGTAGTAGTACTCGTAGTCGGCGATTACGATGAATTTTTGATATGTTAGCACCTCCCTATTCCTAATATGTATTTAATTGTATTGATTTTAATTTTTAATCATGATTGACCTCTGAATGTCACCGGGGACCGCTGATTAAACAAATTGAAAATCAGGTCTCTTGATATTTAGGGACTGATATTAGGGATAATTTAAATGAAAAAATTTTTTTGGGAGATTTCACTTGAAAAAAAGGGCTTAACTAATTAAATCTTTATTAATATTAATTTTTTTCTTCATGTCAATGAAACATTTACTTTTTTAATATAGATAGGTAAATTCTATTCATACATGTTTTCCTCAAGTTCTCAAGAATATTAGTTTTCATTATTGTACAAATTATTATAGACTGATATTATATTTAATTACATGGAAAAAATGGTGCTGATCTACCACATAAATTACAACTTGAAATTGACGACCATTAGGAATTGGTATGAAGTTTTATAATATAAAGTAAGAATAATAAGTACGATACTATAAAGTAAATAAATCAATAGCTGTGAAAGCAAGAGCTTGTATTTTTATATTAACGGCGTTTTATTTCAAGTATAGTCTATCTTATCGCCAATAATGCTTCTTATGTTACAGCATCAGTTTTTTTGTGTGATTGATGATGTGGGAAATATATTGTGGAGCATGAAAAGAAACATTTTCTCTTAAAAACGATTGACGGTATCGTATTTTTTTGTTTGTATTTTGTATATATATATAAAAAACTGCCTCGGTGGTGTAGTGGCTAGCATGTACGGCTGCACATCCGGAGGTCCTGGGTTCGAGTCCCGGGTCGGGCCAAGTTTAGTTAATGAGTCTTCCTGTATAGTAAGCCTCAGTAACAGCCCGGAGTTGAGAAGTTGGCGGTGTTTCACCCCCGTGCCTCGGAGAGCACGTAAAGCCGTCGGTCCTGCGCCTTAACTCTCACCGGTCGTGTCGAGTGGTCGTCCCACCGGAGTATGAGAGTGATAGGAATAGAGAGTGCACTTGTGTCTGCGCGTACACTTGAGCACTATAATATCTCCTGCACAGTTGGCTAATCTCAATGAGATTGGCCGCCGTAGCCGGAATCGGCTAGGAGAACATCACATCACATCATCACATATATATAAAAATGCGTATAATGAAATAGACAGAATTATTGTTTTACTGCCTATATTGCAAGGGATATAGCAAAAAATGTGTATAGATAGATTAAGTATATACTTAAATGATAGACGTTTTTAAGTAATAGAAAACATGTAGTCTGTAGTATGAGCGTAGTGAGGTTGGGTAAAAATATTACTAATACATTATGCTATTATTACTTTCGCTCAAAGATATGAATCTACGACCTCCGACACTGTAAGAAACACCAGTCAAATACATATACCACTACGTCAATATAACTGTCTGTGATAATAGACAAGAACATCAAAAATATTTTGTTTAAATTTTATATCACCATTTCCATGTAAACTTAAAGATTTAAAGTATTAAAATTACCAAAAAAAAAATTAATGAAAGGAAACCGTCCAAAGAGTTATTACAATATGAAGTTTTTACAATACGGAATGTATTGTTCGTTCAAACCCTTGGACACTAAATAATATAATCCAACAAATCAAAGGAAATAGCTTTGGAAGTAAAAGCATCATTGAATATAATAACTCTGTATTTTGGTTTGCAGATTTCAATTTCCTAGTTTTATCAGATAGCATATATGACATGTAATACAGTATTACGCTCTATCTGCATTGTATGAAGCCACAATAGTGGGTATAAAATTCACTCAGCGCAAAAAATTATTATCGTGTTCTCTTTGTACGCTTAACTATTTACTTATAAAGATTATTTCTTTTATTAAATAACTAGCAGCTTACCCTCTCTTCGCTCGGGTTCGCCTCTAGAAAAGCATAAACAGATCATCCCACGGGAACCGTTCATTTTTCCGGGATAAAAAGTAACCTTTTGTTTGACCGGTAATATAAGGTATCAGCATGCCATTTTATTAAATTAGGCGCATAAGTTGTTATGTACTATGCTGTATAAGTTACTAAGTTTTTTTACTATCCCACGGGAACTCTTTAGTTTTCCAGGATGAAAGGTATCTAAAATGTTGACCGGGGATATAAGGTACCATCATGCAAAATTTCATTTAAATTAGTACAACAGTTTGGGAGATATGCATAGACAGTCAACCTCTACAGTTTTATTATATGTATAGATACACTACTAGCTAAGCCTCATAATATAGTTGATTTCTAAATAATAACCATAGTTAACAATAATAGGCAGAACTAACTAACTAACTAACAGTTTTCAGCGACATTAGGATTGTCGGACATAAATAGCACTATTTGCGTGGAGGTGGATGATTTTGCTTACTACCTATATAAAAAGGAAAATCACCATTTAAAAAGGTATATTTGAATTATCAAGCAAATTAAGAATATTATATATTTTGTTTCTTTTGTTCGAGCTTATTCATTTTACATTTTGATTATTATTAATTTTAATTGTTTCATAGGGAGTTTGTCATCTAAATATAAAATACGTTGTAGCACCTTGAAATTTTAAACACCATACTATATTTAGTATTAATTTTTATTTTTAGATTTTTAACAAGTGTGGAGGGTGATCCAATAAATAAATAAATAATCAAAACATAGCTAAACAAAAAACTATAATTTCACAATATACTGCTAATTTATATACTCGTAATACAAAAGGATGTTTTTGGTTAATCCTTTAGACATTTAAATTATGTATGGAAATAGTTTCTTGACCAGAGAGTGCTGGACAACTTTAGGCTGAACAAAGGCTATTTTGTGTGTTTTTTATAATATTATAAATACATATAGAATATATGTATAATACGATTCTACGTCGTATTTCTGTGGTACAGTCGTCAGAATTTGGACGTAATTGTTAATGCCTAAAAATACTATTTTGAAGCTTTTAACATTTAAAAACCCACAAATAAAAAACGCTCAATATTTTCTTGTATATGTAAATAATATGTTACATATATTTGAATGGAATCAAACCCTCGATGAAGAATGTCTTTTTTTTTTAACGTTGGGAAATGCATTTACGCACGAGGTGTGGGACTCACCGGCGTAATAAAGCCAGTACTACCCACTAAAACCCAACAAAACCTTCCCCCGTCTTAATGGGGCGTCGCAGGATCGCTTACGCATTCAACTACGATGCCCCGACGGCAGGTCTGCCGAAGCAGACCACCACAACCATGGGGTTGCTCCAAGGTCCACTCTGCTATCAGAGAAGTACCAGGAGCAACCCACATGGTACACTGCCCACCGAAGAGGGCCACCTCCCACCGCCCACCGAAGTGGGCTACCTCCCTGTGCGTTTCTTGGCTTCGCGCCCGGTTGGGTTGCCGGGCACTACTGAGCCCCCCCACCACGACAAGATGAACGCACGTTGGGGGGGTCGATGAAGAATGTCTAGCACAACGTTTAGAATCAAAATATGTTTGGTCCATGTATTATATTTCACATGACAACTTAATAAACATACCTGATTTCTTCATCTAATTTTAAGGTGAACATTATTGTAAGTCTCATGATATCTTATAGAATTCAGGCCACCACTCCGATTTAATAAATTAACAGAACAGAGAAATTAATCAAGAGTGACTTAAACATTTACCAGAGCTGAATTCAAATTTTTATACGTGATTTATACCTATAGAATTTTAATCATCATGAAGCGCAAATTTATGCGCAAAAATAAGACGGTGATTAAATACAATCAATAAGGTGAATGTAATACAAAAATGTATATATTTATGTATGTAATATGTACGTATGTATGTACGATTAGTTTGTATGTTTGCCCTTTGTAGCACTCTAGAGAATAAACGCGTGGGCTGATTTTTGATAAGTTTTACGTCAAACGATCTGTCTCAATCTTGCGATTCACAAAGGACATGACAGTAATCACATTGTCATATTGACTCGAAATTTGTATGTAAAATCCTGATCGTAATTCAATAATTTGATATCTATAAGATGATCTGATGATGAAACCAGGAGGTGGATAATGAAACTCTTTAATGAAGATAAGTAGAACCTTGTTGTTTCCAAATGTAAGCTTATAAGTATTTTTTGACAACGTGAACGAAATCGAGAATTCACATATTATATAGTAGTTAATGAAAAGCGTGTTCTTCTGTTTTTTAGACTATAATTATTTACATCTTATTAGAGACGTGATATCATGTTTACCTTCGAAAACTTTATGAAAAATGCAAGTCCACTTCATTAATTTAGATGACTTGACCTTAAGGCTATTAAATTTTAATTAGCGAGTTGATAAGCAATCTGAAGTCTCTGCATATTGCATTGTGTTAGGCCATCCGGACAACCTTACAAAGCACCGGATGTAGGTCTATTAGTTAAGCCTTTTGTTTAGAGAATTCTCTCATAATGAGTTTTAGTCAAGTGATAAGAATTTACGTCTAGCTTTACTTTACAAATTTGCACGAGATATCAGAAAACTTATTAAGGTTTGTTATTAAGAACATAGAATTTACAGATATTTTACTTCAGTTATTATCAGTTAATGTAAGTGGCATTGAAAATACCTTACATATTAGAAAAATATATAGTTACAACATTTAAAAATTTGCTTGATGAAGATTTTAAGTTTTTTTCTTTAAAATCTTAATTATATTTAATATTTGCTAATATTTCAAACGAACAAATGAACAGCTTTTTCAGATTATACATAAAAGTCATCGCTGTCAATTTTTTTTTAATAAAATACGTAACACTCATTTACTTGGAAGTTATTTGCAGACTCTAAAGTTAATGCCTCAGATCTGATGTCTCGCAAAAAAATCTCATCGAATCTTTAAACTTGTTTTGTACATAAAATATGAATAGTTAAGGTATATATGAAAAATGTCTTTATTTTTATCAAAAGATATAGTAATCTTTATACCAAATTCTTTTTTATGCCAAGAAAAATATATATGGAAAATTATAATGGATATGTTGTACGTTGTATTATGTATTAAAGTATTAATACCCTTTTTAATATCCCACTGCTGGGGGTGGGCTTCCCTTCAATACGAGGGGGATCAGGCCATACTCCACCACGCTGGCCGAGTGTAAGTTGGCGGACTATTCGATGTATCACTATTCGATGATATACTATTCGATCAATATTATGTTAGAAATGATTCGCACATGAAAATAGCACAGGTGTGAGACCCGGGATTTGAAGCCGCTTCACTGGATTTCCAAGCGAGCGAATTACCACTGAGCTACCACTGCCTGTTCTTACCGATATATTATATTTAATTTATTATATTATATTTAATTAATGTTTCCTGTAATAAAAATTGCCGATAATTTCATTGTAAACTTTTATATAAGTGACTTAATTCTTAGCGTTATCTGAAAAAAGTTAAAGTATCAAAATGGTTGCAGAACTTAGAAAATTTATAAAATGTTACAAATCTTATTATTTCCTTCGTGAAGTTAAAATAAAACTAGAGGACCTAGTAATAAGTTACTCCAATTTGTTATTAGCAAGAGCAGCCATTAGTTTACTTCAGTATGAAACTTTTCTTCCCAAGTTCAAAAGGAAATACTTAACTAGCTTAAGATTAAAATGCGGTGTAATTTTTACAACGACAAAGGAGTGTTTTCAACTTTCGACAGTTCAAATTGAATTTTAAAACCTTTCTGCTCTTATGTTATTAGTGCTTTTTTGAACTAACATAAAACATTATATTGGTCAAGTTCCTGAATTTATGAAAATAATTGTAAAGCAAGAAAAATCGGTCAAACACATATTTACGGTAACGGTCAAATACATTTTTTTTCACAACAAGTAATATTTTTTGCACTAAACGTAATGAATAATTGAACGTAATTTTGTCTCTTAATTCGTTTTTTTTTTAAATCAGCGGACATAAGACAAATTCAAATTTGCCGTACCAATCTAAGCATCGCCGAAATTAAAATATATAAAAGAATATATGAACGTCGAAAAGTACCTCCTCTTTTTTATGGTATTTGTATATTAACGACGACACTTTTGGCTCAGTGTGTTGTTGTTGTGACCCTACTTGCTGTGCCAGCGGTCGTGGGTTCGAGTCCCGCTGGGGGCATTCATTTGTGTGATTAGCACGAATGTTTGCACTCCAGTCATAGGTGTTTATATTTATAATATGTATGTATTTAAAGTTTATGTATGTTATAAGTTTACTATCTTGTATTCATAACACAAGCCTCGTAGCTTACCATGGAACTAGATAGTGCTGTGCGTTAATGTCCCAACATATTTATTTATATTTATAAGACTAATTCGCAATATGCTAATATGGTAAGCATTATTTCGATGTACTCTTATGAAAAAAGGCTCATATTATGTATATATCAGTATATTTCATTTATTGTAATGTATTAATGAGATTTCCAACTGAATTCAGCTACATGCAAATTCCTTCGTATTTTAAAAGTGAATTTTCAACTACAAGGCAATCAAGCTGTACGAATTGTATGATAATTGACTTGTTCACAAGTAATATTTAAATGAAACTATCTTTATATTCTGCTACTAGAGTAATATATTAAATGCCAGACATACAAAAAACATAGTTAATAGAATTATTTTGAATGCTATTTTAATAGCTTATAATATATTAACTGTCCATATTGAACTTAACAATAGAGGATACCTCTATTCTCCAAGAACATTTTTATAAAAGATTAAACTTTTTACTGTCAAAGCCACAGGTAGAAATATACGATACAGAAGCCACGTACATAAATTAATAATTACCTATATCCTATATTAGGTTTATGCTTGGCCGTCCCCCCTCCCTTGTACGTGCCACCGCCTAGTGCGCGCTCTTCACCGTAGCGAGGGTACTCGCTATGAACACCGACTAGCGCGACCCCAGCTTCTTCCGCCGCTGCATCCCTTCCGGAATACGCCTTCATCGCGCCTGGGATCGAAAGCGTCGATACCGGCTTCCGCAGCTGAAATACGAAAAATTATTAGAACTTTAATATGTTATTTATTTGATAATTAACTTAAATAGTATGAAATATTAATTGATAAATTATTATAGATGTAATTACTGTTTTTTTTTTCATATTATAATATGTAATGTTATAGTACACTAGCGACTCACCCTCGCTACGCTCGGATTCGTCCCTAGCTTGATTCCCCATACAAACTTTCACCCCCTTTTCACCCCTTTAAGGCGTGATTTCCGGGATATAAAGTATCCTATGTCCCTCCCAGGGTCTCAGACTATCATCTTACCAAATTTCATTTAAATCGGTTTAGTAGATCCAGAGATTACCCGCTACAACGTCACAAACTCAGTCTCACAAACTTACAAACTTTACCTCTTTTTAATATAAGTATAGAAGTATACAACATTATGTACTAATTCTATAGTCTAGAACTAGGCTTTGAATTTGAGAAAAAAACATATTTTTAGCTTTTGTGGTCACTAAATATATCACAAATATTTGGCAGCTACACTAAGTATACCTATGACTATAATATTTAGAGTTTAAAAACAAAACCGATTACGCGATAAAAGTCCCTTTTCACATGATCAAAAATATAAAAATTTATTGAATTCATATTATAATAATTACTGTTAATATCCACAATAATTAGGCCTTTAGGTACTTGACTTGGGAGAAATTTAATAATAAGCACTTTCCTTGATTCTCAAAGCTTTGCTTGGCCTCAATAAAGCCAAACATATTTTAATATAATGATCAATACAAAAGTTTAACATACGTGGGAAAGTAGGCGTTTTTATAATTAGTTGGCAATACTTAGTAGTAGACCTTTAAGACAAACAATTAAAAATACAACTATTAACTTTCTTTGTAATTATTTACCGCATTAAGTAAGAATATTGTGGTATATTGTCTTTTTTATTAAAAAGATATTATACAAATTATCAAAACCATCCGAAAAATAATTATTACGCCTTTAAAAAACAATTACAAAAGCTTAAAATTTACAAAGTATTACTTTAAATATATTATTACGAGTCTTCTCAGTGATAAAATTATTGTATATAATTGACGAAATAAATTATGTAGTACAAAATATTATCGAACGCATATCCGAATTGAGGGATTCCTTTTTTTTTTAAATATAGAAAGTGACTATTAATCCAGTTACTGTACGACTAATATATAACTTGTCAAGTTACTTTTTTTTTTAATTTACAGTAGTTATTTGAATCAAAAATTATTTACTTGTAAGTTTTAATTTTCTATTATGTGACAGACCCGACGTGGATAACATAGGTTGAGAAGGTTAAAGCGGCCTTTAGCCTTCTCGTTATGTAATTTTTTATTTCAAACCCAGAACCCTGAATATTATAATTTCGTTATATTATTTAAGATTAGAAAATTATAAAAAATATTTCTTTTATTATAATTAATCAATGGCTGGACTAATAAAAATAATATTAGCCATACATTTAATAGTAATAGATAGTTACTGTATCAATAGGGTCAGCCTAAAAAATATTGTTAATTTTACTATTATCAAATAAATTTTATAAAACAATATATAAAGCAAAATATATTTTTCAAAATATAATACTGATCATATTTCAAAACCTATACAAAACTTAAAGCAATATAAATCATAGACTGATAACACAATAATACCCAGTTCCACAATGAACAATTTCTGTTGAAACGTGAAAAATTCAATTTTGCAAGAGGAAGTAAATAGAAAGTTTGAGAAGAGCAGTACAAAGTTTCATAGCGTTTTTTATTCGACACCGGCTTTAATTTGAAACCCTTTATTTAGTTCGCCTCGTATTCCTATTTGATAATACTTTTTTCATACATGTTAGAGTTTTACAAATTTATTTGATTTTATTGTTACGATCGCTTTCTACAAACTTAATATTTTAAACGCGAAAGTTTCTGGGGATATATGGCTCTAAGTTTGTAAATACTTTCACTTAAAAATTACTAAGCGGATTTTGATAAAACTTTACAGTATTAAAGTTTATACATCAGAGTAGTATAGGCTATACTTTAAAAAGATATAGTGATAAATAAACAAAATACGCGGGGTAGAGTCGCGGGAAAATGCAAGTTAAAATTTTTTGTACTCAAAATCTTCAAGTGTCGACCTCACACTAACAATAAGTTATATAACATAGTGTATTTAAATAAAATAATTTACGATTATTGAAGATATACTTCTTTTGGCATGTTTGGGAAAAAATATGAGAGTAAAATTTTTATGATGCGTACGAACACCGACAGCCACACAGCGACATGATGAAGTTAGCTGCATTCCTTTTACACACAGAAAGTTGTGACATACAGGATAAAATCTTTAGCTATTTTTGTTCTCTTACGCCGAAGTATAACTTCTTACGAGCGTACATAAGTACACACACACACATGTTTTTTATTTTAATATTATGATATGTAAGAATAGCAGAAAAATAAGATAATATTTACACCAGATATTTCCCTTCGCAATATAATTGACCTCAATTTATTTTAATACATTAATAGACAGTATTTTTCTTGTTAATTAGATTTCATTGAATTTGTATTACTTGTATGTATGTATTTTGCCCTTTTTCTCAGACATGCAGGTTTCCTCACGATGTTTTCCTTCACCGTAAGACAAGTGGTAATCATGTTAGAACTGATTCGCACAAGAAAATATCAGAGGTGCGACACCCGGGATTTGAACCCGCTTCACTCGGTTTTCTAAGCGAGCGCGTTACCACTGGTCTACCACTGCCTTATTGTATTATTTATTTAATCATAATTAATGATGACTTCAAGCCCTAATTTTAAATTTATAATGCAAATATGAATGGTAATATAAAATAATAGGTACATTATATAAATTCACAGAGCTTTTTATACAAAAGATGCACATTATGATAAAAAGTATAAATTAATTGTTTATTGTGTATAATCTTTAGAACCATTGAAACGTAGCTAAAAATATTTTATGCATAAATTTCTACAATCCCTGTTTATCATAAATTATTTTATAGACATACCACACAAGCGATGTCGCGTTATTTTAAAGTTACATTTCTTAGTTAAAATATTCAACAGAAACTTAAAAAAATCCCTTAGAGTATAAGCAAAAACAAAGTGAACAATAAAACTAAGTCCAGTACTTTTAAAAGTGTTATTGTTGTATCTATTGCATATCATTTAAATAATTTGGGTAAATACCCAACTATCTAACGACGATGCTCGTTATGAAAAGAAGAAAAATACATTTTGTTGAGAAAACGACTGTCGCAGCGGAGTTAGTAAATTCAGACGGGCATTGCCCATTAATTTAAATGATTATTTTGACAATATCGATGTTTGTCCGCTCCTCGAAAACGGTACTTGTTGGATATTAGTGTCCAATGTCTACAAACTTTCTATGGGTGTTTAATTTAGTAAATGATCTCGCATATAATCAGTTTTAATTTGCATACAAGTGCGGATGTTATTTTTAAACATTATTATGCCTTGATAAATTATTGAAAATCTACATTTCGAGCTTTTTCATATAATATCTTAAGGCTAGCGTTCAAAATGTACTGTTTTTAAAGCTATTGATTAATTAAGGCTTGTGTTATATTAATTTTTTCTACTCCGCTTGGAAGAGCACTGAAAATTCAATAAAATCATAAGTTTGTGCACTTGCTGTGAAATTACACTTTACAATGACACATTACAATATGATTGCATATTTAATAATTATCATAATAATAATATTATAATCGTGTACAAGAAAGTCAGCAACCATGGATTTTAATAGACAATTTAGATTTTTAATATATGTTGTTAAAAAAAAAACCATGTACATTTCAAATTAAGTATTCAAGTCGGCCAGTACTTAAGTATTCACCATAAAATATATCTCGTGCCATAGATTAATAGCTGCTTGTACATGGAAATATAATGGTATATTAGATTTTTTTTTATAAATTCTGCCAGTTTAGTAAAAAAGATGTGACATCCTACATAAAAGATTCAATTTTAAAAGAATCTTTAATCTAACGCTTTTAAGTTTTCGTTCAGAGGATTTTTATTATATGACGTGAAATTCGAAATTTGAGTATTGAAAGCGTCCTTTGAGAAACTCAACGGTAATATGGAATAGAATTGCGACATCACGTCGGCAATTCAGCTAAACTTCCTCGATGCGGCTCTAATAGTCCCATTCCTCTAAAGTATAGGGTAGGACTAAGGATGTTTGAAGTTTCATTCATTTATCCGAATACTAGCTTTCGTCTTCTCTTTTCTTGTTCTTCTTTTAATTATGGTAACTAAGCATACTTTAAAAAAAAATCGATATCATGTTAATTGATATTTCAGCATTTCTATAGATATACATAAAATACATTTTATATTCATTGAAAATTCAAAGTAGGAACTGTAAAAATAGTGAAAGACCAGGTTTTCTAAAATGTCTGTACAACCTATACATAAAATAAAATTGTAACTAAGTCGAATCTGTACATTAAATATTTTTTGGAAAATCTAATTGAAATAGACATTATTATTGATACAGAGTCCGAATCTATAGTTTTTAGAATTTTTGTCTGTCTGTCAATGACCGCATCACGAGAAAACCATTTGACAGATTTTGATGAAATTTGGTACGAAGATAGCTGGTTATCAGGGTCAACGTATAGGATAGGTACTTTTTACTGCGGGAAAATATCTCATCACTGAGGAATCTATACTAAACGTTAAAACGTAAATGTAAACTAAGGATAAACCCGAGCGGAGCAAGGATGAGTCGCTAGTTTACTAATAATAATAATTATTAAAAAAAACCAGTATTATAATCAAATATTCTTGCAATATTCCATTAATTCTACCACTAATGCTTTTTACATGCGACAGATTTTATTAAATAATCTATATTACGAGTATATAACGTTTTTCCATCCACTTGTATACGTTAA